ATGCTCAGTGTGAGCGGCTGACTGGGGTTCAAGGAGACAGAAGCAGACATACTACAGCAGCAGTTTAACTACACCATTCTAATACGTGGAGATTTTGATGTTTACCATTGAAATGTAACACTGACTGTTTGTTCAGGCCGAAAGGTAAACTTTTCCTCCAGTCCTTTGCACCCTCTAATAAGTTGTCTCCCAATATCTCCATTCATCTTCCCATCAACTTTGCTTGTGTTGATGCGGAGGATTTGGAACAAATGAGATTTGGTAAATAGCAGAGCTGGTATCCTTATGGCTTTTATTTGACAATGGCTTCCACTTTTCCATCCAGGCTAGCTAGATTTAATGGGCCTTGTGCAAGAACTGTTTATATGCTCTGATTCAGTAATTTAGAAGGAGAGGACACATTCACCATTTTTCTCATATTTCTAATCTTCTCTCAGATCCAAACAATTTTAGGAGTGCTCTGGACGGACGTAGGAGTCTTTCACAATCAGTCAACTGTTCACCAAACCTAGTTTCCCACTAAATGACCACATTTGTTGTTACTTAGAAGCAATTTTCCATTTTATCAGGCTACAATATTTTTAGCATTTTGCTGATGACAGAACTATCAGTCACTACACCTGCAGCTAGCATGCCAGTATCCAGAGGACACTGGTTTATATTGTTGTTATTTCGTAAAAAGAAATTCAAAGATCAAGCTACTATTGAAATAACATCTGGAACAGATAATTGATGAAAATTCAGCAAGACTCGTCTAACAGCAAGACTTTTATACAATATTTGGGTCTGTTTAGTAAAAGAAGATTTAGCAGAACATCGTCATGTCGGTAGATGTTGAACTCATAATAAGCATGATTACATCACATGTTGCACCTCTTGCCTCCATAAGTAGTTTTCATTGACTGTTTTTGGATCAAATTAAATTTCTTTATATGATTGTTTTTTTTGTTTTTTTTTACAAACCTGACAGAAAACAGTCGAAAAAATGTAATATAATGGTAAAAAATATATTTTAAAAAATGGTAATAAACCCCAAAAACATGCATTGTAGTTTGTGGTTTTCGGTAGTGAAAGGCTCTTTAATTCTTACTGCTGTCGCTCAGATGAGAATAATTTACTGCTTTTCTTCTGCTTATTCTAACTGATCATTCTTCCAACTTTCTCTCAGGCTGATTGAATATCTTCACTCTTAACCCTTCAGGTCCTGTTTTTCACTTTATTCTCTGTCTTTTCCAGGACCCTGTCTTTGCAAGCAACCTGTTTTTCCACAGCTCCTTAATCCCATCTCTCCTTGATTATGACTCCAGTTTTTGCTAACATTTCTGCTAATCTCATCTGATCCTCTAAATATCTGTTTTTTGTTTTTCCCTCTGTCCTGCCAGCTTGGGTTCTTCAAGCGAGCCATCTACTACCGGGTAATGCCAAAGCACCGTGGGGTGAGAATTCGCAGAGCTGAACGTTATCAGTTCAATCTGGGATTTCAGCCTGAAGAGCCACAGAAAAAGTACTGGATCACCAGCTGGACTGAGATGCAGCATTGCTACTACTGATCATTTTGAACCACTCACTGCCACAGAGGCTAAAAACCAAGAGAACACTGGGCTTGATAGAGCTATAAGGACTTCTATGGTGCACGGACCTACTGTGGACAATGCATTTCTTTTTTTTACTAAAATTGATGTCCTTGACTTTTTTGTGCAATATGCTGAACATTTGGAGAGATTGTAATTTGATAAGCATTTTTTTTTCTTTATTTTTTGGTATGCTGTTTTTTTATTGGAATCAATGTTGCATCTAGAGGGAAAAAATCTGTTGAATCTGCGAGTAACTTTTCATCCTTTTAAAACATTTTATTTTCTGAGCTGTGATTTTAGCTTTTAAATGATCTGAAGTCATGTCCCGGTGTATGTTATTTTATTTTGAGCAGCAGCCACTCCGTTATGAATCTAAGCTGCCTTCTAATGAACGTCCGTGCAGGACAAGCATCGCAAAGACTAATATTCCTTACATGCAAGGTTGATACAGGTTTTGCTGATGTCACTCAGACTCTGTAATAGTTTCTCATAATTTCCACATCAGGAGCCATCCTGTCTGCAGATTACACCTAGTTGTTATTTATTACCGTGTGGAGCTAACAATATGAAATGATGCCGTGTGGCTATTTTAAGCTTCTCATACAGGGAGTCTGAACACTGGAAATGTTAGCAGATTACAAAGGTATGGATGAAATTGTAAATATTGACAAGGTAAATAGCGTGTTTGAATGAATGCGTGTATTTCTGGACTTTGTTCTTGCTTTTCCTCATAAAGCAAATGACAGACACTGAAACCAGCGGATTCCACTGAAGACTAACAGGATCGTAAAAAGTACAGTTAGTCTACCAATATATAAGGATGTTCAGTTGATGTATAAAGTTCAAACTCCACTGTCTCCAAAAAAAAAGATAAATTAGATGACACATTTTATAAAGTTTTCCACCTATAAAGTCACCCATATCCTGTACAGCTCAACGGTGTAGCAAATATGTTTTTAAAATTGGTATTTGGTTAAATCACCTTTCAATTTCACATCAGAATTGTGTCTTCTGTTTTTCTGTTATTGTTGCGACATGGTTTGTAATTGGAAAACCTAACCCGTAAAAATATGCAGAAAAAATTTATAAAAATAAATGGTTTTTGGAATAACATTGTGGTCCTCTTTAAAAAAAAAAAAAATATATATATATATATATATATATAGTTTCAATTCTTTCTAATTTTTTGTTTTCAAATTTCTTTTCCAGATTGAGTTTCGCAGCTTTTATTCTTTTCAAATCCCTTTTTCAGATCACAAGCCCAATAAAAATGTTGTTGCTAACGTCGTTTTGACCAATACAATTGTTTTTCGTTCTCATACAATAAGAAAGCCCGCCCCCAGGAGGAAACAGAATGTGATCTGGAAAACACAATTGGAAAAAAATATTTAAAAAAAAAAAAAATGAAACATACATTTTTTTTAAATGAAGAATTAAAACAAATAAATCTGAAAACCTTTTAGTATTACGCTTGCAAAGTTTCTTTCTGGATATCATTTTATTAAATGTAACATTTACAAAATGTGTTTTTTGCTTTCAACAATAATGGAACAAAATTCACTCCATACATTCCGACCTGGAAGAAGTTGTTTAAAAGTTACGGCTTGAAGTTTTTGCTCTCCTTCTGTGGTGTTTGTCAGCCAGTAGACAGGTCTGCTAATAATGATGCTAACCTTACCAAACAGTTTATTTTTTAGCACCACTCAAAAGCTTAAACTTCTTCTTCATGAAGGGATTTTTTTTTTCATCCCTGTTATGGAGCTAATAGGATCTTGTAATTCCTGAGCTTCATCTTGTTTTAGCGACCTATTTCTATTTATCCAGAATCCTTTCATGTCAATGTTGGCATCATAACTGGAGGGCTTTTTTAAATATATTTGGAGCTGTCAAAAATACTACAAAATAATTATACGCTTTATGTTTCTGTAAAATTGGTCAAATGTGGACTGATATTCTGTCCAATTTTAGATATTACATGGATGTTTTTTTTTTATTAGTTAGATAAAAAGTAGGATGGAGTTGAGCCACCATGGTCCACAGTTTTACCTGCAGATTCAGCTTTAAAATGATCTTTGCAATTCGATGCCACCTCCATCAACGCTAAAAAAAGATATTCTGTCAAGCAAATTATCAAAAGTTTTGGGTCAAACCTGGTTAGTATTTTCAGTTTTTTCAAAATCTTTTTCCGCCTGAATAAAAATAAAAATAAACATATCTGGCCAAAGAGAAAACACATCTACGATGATATTTCACTGAGTTGCAGTTTTTTGTACCAAGCTTACATTTTATAACACTATGACATATTTTCCCACAATATCATGAAAAGCTTGACTTGTTTTGTGTCCCTTTCCCCTCTGATAACTTCGTCAAGTGGGAGAGCCACACCATGAATTTACTGCAAATTAATAAAAGTTAAATAGTTTAAATTGTGCATCAAACATTGTCTAATGTTGTGAACAATTAAACAACCAGGTGGAAACAGTTAGAGGATTTCATTACTAGTGTGTGTCCTTTGTAAACCACAGTGCTTTGTTCGGTCAGACGCTGCTTGAGCTCGGAAACCGTTTATCTGCTGTCCCTTGATTTTTTGTATCATGGATGCAGCTGAAATAAATTGTTTTCAAAAAGAAGAACATTTATTAAAGATTTAAGCAAACAAGGCAGAATTGAATCTTTTTATTACAGATATACAAAGGAAGTAAAATTAGATATTAAAACATGTTTACACAATAAACATACATTTTATAAAAAAAATTTCCTCTTTTAAACTTATATATTAAAAATAAATTACAATTTGTTTTGCATTTTCAGAAAACAAAGCAAATGTTATTAAATCTAAGTGCGCTCAGTAAATATAACAGATTAAGATTTTTTTTATCAAATACTTTAAATTCTATGTTTTTTTTTATTTAATTTTTTTGTTATGGCATGACTGGTCCTTCATAGCTGTCTACTTATATTTTTGCGACAAAAAATCTAAGAAATGATCTGCCATTTTTATATAACTGACAACACACTCAAAACTTATATATATATATATATGTGTGTGTGTGTGTGTGTGTGTGTGTGTGTGTTTATCTAAGTTATCATATGCATGTATTTCTAAGATATATCTTAGGAGTGTTAAAAATTGATGCCCTCCTTTAATACTCATCTTATTCCAGCTATTCCAGAATTATAAAATAAAATGTAAAAATCAAATCTATACATCTTCCACTTATTACACCATATTACAAAAAAAGGTTGCCATTATAACACATTTAAAACCATCAGTAAAACATTTGATTTTTTTTTTTTATTAAACATGTTTCCTAAACATTACATTTAAACAGGAACATTTGATACAAGTTCTGGTTTATGTAGATTTGCAAAGTGTTGCTTTTCAGGAAATAGGGATTTCTGACATTCAGTGTGAAAGAGGCAAAAATTAAAAACCCAACGGTTGATTAGAAAATGTGCTCCGACATGATGCAGTTGTTCACATTGAGGTTGGTTTTGTGGTAGCTACAATAAATCTGCCAGAATTAACACAACATTCAATCCTTGTTCTTTAGCTCCATCATGGAGAGGGACTTTCCACTCTTTTTTGACTTTCTGTATCTGTAGGCGAGGAGAAGGATGACCAGCAAGAAAACAAGGCTGATGGAGAGCAGTAGCCACTGGCCAGCTTTGGCAGCGCCCTGGTTCACCCTCAGTCCCAGGAACTCCACCTTACCATCATTCACCACGACCTCAGCATCAGGTTCTGAAAAGCATACACAAAGATAGGAATAAAGGAGGAACGGCTTTTTATAGGTTTATTATTTTCTAGATTGTCAAGTATCACATTCTCTGCTGGATGGAGAAGTTTTGTATTAATCTGTTTGAGTTGGAGTTCTTGCAAAGAACAAACTAAGGCCTTAAACAATTAATCTTATTCATGAATTGCTGAAATATTCATCAAATAATTTAGTATTTAATTAATCTTTAAATGGAGTATAAGAGGGCTGCTCAGTGGAGCAGTGGTTAGCACTGCTGCCTTGCAGCAAGAAGGTTCTGGGCTTTCTGTATGGAGTTTGCATGTTCTCCCTGAGCATGCGTGGGTTCTCTCCGGGTACTCCGGCTTCCTTTCAATTGGGAGAAGCGTGTCAGATAATGGATGGATGGAGTATAAGAATGTGAAACGTGTCTTTAGCTGACAGAGCCCTTTTCCCACTGACAACTTAGAGCAGCAATTAAACAAAAATTGTAAATAAACAGGCAAATATTTAAGGTAAAAAAAGACATTTTGGTTTGTCAATATTCTTTATCCAGAACTCCTCAGGTGGAAAAGTTTTAGTTTCGCCTGGTTTGATAACATAAAAAGTCTTCCTTCAAGAACCTTTTGCTATCTGATTATTATTAGATTTAAAAAAACTTAGAAAAAGAGTTTCTTGTCCTTAAAGTGATGATTGGATTAAGAGCATCTAAGATGTTTCAACAAAGCACATTTAGACTAGTGTTACTAGTTTATTGAGGAAACTTTCACACCTCTCCATCTCAGATCTAGCACTTATCAGGTCTCATAAACACCCAGTATTTACGGTTATTGAAAGCAAAACATAAAATAAATTCCAATAAGATGATTTGCCAATGGAATGAATATTCTTCCTCTTAAAATGAGATAATTAGATTAAATGCATTTGAAATAAGACAATGTAAATGTTTTTTTTTATTTTAAAAGTAAATTATCTTGTTCCATTGGCAAAGAGGCACACATCCTCAATGCAAAAAAAAACAAACACTTATTTTAAGAAAAAATGACTTATTCAGATTTAAATTTTTAGCAGTGAACATACAGTTTAAAACATTTAGAGGGAATTTGTTGCTTTTGCTAAGAGACGAAAACAAGAAAAAGAACCGGATCTGCCTCCCACCCTGAGACAACATCAGAATAATAAGTTCAGTGTTTAGCTGTACAGTCTATAGGACGTTAGTCCAGAGTCAAACACTTGGCTTCCCATGAGGCTTCCATGCTAAACACTGTGCACGGGAAGATGACCATTACCGCATGTTACCCATGCAGTGATGCATTTCACCATCCCCCATGGAGAGAAATGGTGGCGGGAGGATAATGCTGTGGGAAATCAAGTTAACCATTAGATAAGAGCTCTAAATACAGGGCAATGCTGGAGGAATAGCTACAGCCAGAGCTATGATGGAACAACTTAGTTCAAAATGTGTTTGTGGATTAGAACGGCTCCGCCTAAAACAACTTTGTGAAATTTCCTAAAGGTTTTTTTTTTGTGCTTTCGGGAGCAAAGTGAGGGGAAAAAAGCAGCTATTAACTTTGGCTACCGACTATATCCCTATTGCTTTATCCTCACACTGCAAAACATTGGCAACATTTAGTCCACACTAACATATTAAATGGGCTTCAGTTCAATCTCACAATAAACTTGTTTTCTATTTTGTATGGAAGACAAAAGCGCTGCATCCTGCTTTAAAGCAGATGCAAAAGGTTAAACCTTTACAGGTTTTAAGGCGTTTCTGGTGAAATCGGAGGATTTTTGAAAGAATGGTGGAAAAAAAAAAAAAGGTTACCAAAGGTTTCTGTATATTTAAGGCATCGGCAGACTAATAAAATGCATTAACAAGTATACAACAGTAAAAGCTGAAGCTTTATAGAAGCAATGATACTTAAAAAATGTTTTAACATATAGTGTGTAATGCCACGTTATGCAACACTGAATGTAATAAAATCAGCTTTTACTAGTTTCTGCAGAATTACACTTTGCACTTGTTTCCTTTTAGAGTGTTTGGTTTATGAGAGAACGTACTGTATGAAAAAATTATTGCAATGTGTGAAATATTACATACAAATACTCCAAATTAAAACCTTTGAATTTATTAAACACTCTAGAGAAACGATTTCAATGAGTGTACCAAATTTTTGTCATATCTTCATTGTCGGCTATGAGGAATTGATTGTGTAATGTCATTCAGATCCGTCAAGAGAAATATGATTGGTATCAGCAATATTCTGAAGAAAATATAGTGATTTCTCTTTTCAAAATAGTATGTAAAAGTAC